GCAGGAACTACAAAATATAATTCCCTTTATTCAATTTTGTATAAATGCTTGTACACAATAAATAATTCTCTATTTCAGACAGTGGCACAGTCAGAGTGAGGTAATGCATGCAAAATGACTTGATCTTGAATAAAGACCACAGATTCAGAAACAGTATTTATGCAACTACTTTTCACAAAGGTAAGACAAATGATAGGTAGCCATGTGGCAAGAATATTGTCTTGTATTTCGATACAATGGTGCCTACCTTTGAGGAGTGCCTGATAGGAGGTGGGGGAGGAGGCTTTTTGCCTGTTTTGGAGGATTTTGTTGACACTGGAGAAATTTCTGATGTCATTTTCATGGATTTTAAGTCATTGATGCTCTCAAGGTATTTTTTCCTCAGCGCTAATAGATCCTGTAAGTACTGTAAGCAGTGTTGAGTCTTAGAGTACAGCCAGGCCCTATCTTCCTCTTTCTGCTGGAAGTATGCACATGAGTCTATGCTGGTGGTACTTTTGCATTTTTTCAAGGATTCACTGAGTCTCTGTTGCTCACTTCCAAGAGTGCACATAGAGGTGCTGCGGATCAGCCTCACAGCAGAGCCTGTGTCATCGTAACAAGGGATATCATCAGCCAGACTCCTATGGGAGTTGGGATGAAAGAGCAAATGGATCTTTCTGAACATAATGTGCCACGTTCTTCACCTGTATCTTGTCTCCTTTAGCTTCTTGATTGTAAGACAAAATGAGTTAGGCAGTATCCAAATCTCTTGTCGCTAGCTGAAAGATAGATTTGCCAGAGGCTCATTGTAATCAGGGTAAAAGTTTATTGATACTTCAGCTGCTTGCAATATAGTTTGCTTTTAAACATCACAACAAAATGGTTTTGGTTACATCTGCATCAATTAAACGGCTTTGCTTTTTCCTCAGATTAAAACGTAGTACAGTAGGTCAAATGCCTTCCTCTGATCTTTCTTCTAGCAGTTCTCCATACAAATCATCCATGTCAGACAAAACATTTTCATCTCCCTTGTTTCTTTCCGTTTCCTTTTGTTTCCAACAGTGTCACATGCTTGATGTGTTAGATGTCTGCCTCACTTTATAGTTGCATAGATTCGAGATGTCTTTGTGCTGACCATGGTTCTGAACTACTTCTGAGCTCCAAAAAATATTCTCTTGCTTAAGAAATAATGAGACGTGGCTTAGCAGACCATGAATGGGTGTTTGGCCAAAAAAAAATTCCAATAAGCCTAGACCAAGATGGGTTGACAAATCAGGAAGGGGGCACCTGTAGCGTATAGCTTGTTGTACTTCCAAGCAGGAGTTCAGTGGCTATGAGAAGGGATGTTGTGTTCTGTACTATGGCAACAGGGGCAGGGTTACCGTTATCTGATAGCACATCTTTGTTAGAAGTAGAGTGGACTCAGGTACCCAGATCCATTACACACCATTCAAAAGCTTCCTGTGGGAGAAATGCTGTAAAATAAAACTGTTTCAAAAGATGCTTTTATCTTGAAATAATAGCAGAGATTTTATCGTGCAGAGAAACCATTCCCTCTGTGGTTTTGAACGTTTGTTCGAGAGAAAAAAAACTACGTGCAAATGTTTGAATTCTGTGTTTATGGCTGCAGGATTTAGTCTGAAAAGTACTGTACACACCATTAGCATTTTAATGCTGTTCTTTGATTTGCATCGTGTCCATACTATGACTGTGCTTTAAAGGAGATAATTGGACAACAGACAGTTTTCTTTGTCACAATGATCTAGCTTTTATAAAATCTACAGGAATGTTCAGGGCTTTCATTTTCACAAATAAATCTGTAACTCATTCTGTTTAGTGCTTTGTGTTTGAGAAATCATGGGCGTGATCTTACAGTTTCCGCTCAGGTAAAACTCCCACTGAACTCACTGAAAGCCTTGCATAAGGATTTAGGCACAATAAGGGCTGTGCAAGAATAATATAAATATATGTGTTTTATTTCATGCATTCCTCCATAAGCTCAGATCCACTGGGCAATTATTTCATGCTATAATTTCAGAGCATATTTACATATACACCCTGATTTTTGAGCTGAGCGTGATATAGGATCTAAGGCAGACTCGTGATAGCTTTATGCCACTTTTGTAGTTCCTTAATTCTGGGACTGGTTTGGCTCCCATTATAAGCAGGAGTAGTTTTGAGATTGCTCTAAATTGCACCAAGCAGATTATGATCTATAGCTGGAAGAACTGGACCGTGGAGATAAGTTTATAATACCTAATACTTCAAGAGAGGCTCTGCGTGTGTTTCTACCACCAGGTAGTTGGTAAAGCCAACTCTATGACCCCTTTGAGTCCCAGAACTATGCAAAAAGATAGTCATTAATGGGAGAATGGGGCCCAGTGCCTCCAGGTCTGTGGCAGAGAATCCTGGTCCAGAAAATTAGTACAGTAAAAAGCATTGTGGTAGTCTCTCTTCTAGTATATATTTTCTTTTACGAAGTATAAGGCTGCAAGGAATCCTTAGCTTGGGGCTTTGTACCTATCTCATCAGTGTTGCACAGTGCAGTGACTGTCCCCAACTGAAAGAAGTGAGACCAGGCCTGAATATCCCTTTAAAGGGGATTTGATTTACTGTATCTCCAGGTTTTAGCTGCGGTGAATCCAATGAACACCTGTGTTTGCACTCTCAGTCTGCTCCAGTAGCCCCTTTGCCCATGGGTCTTCCACTGACAGCAGTGACTCAGGCATCAATGGGATCACCAGCAATGATTTGAGTCCGGTGATTTGCAGTGGGAGTTCCACAGAGAAGAGCTTTGGGACCAAGTGTAAGACCGATGGGCAAAAATGAACTGGGCCCTCTGGTGCTTAGTGCATGAGCCTCTACAGCTTGAGCTATAAAGCCAGTAGGCTCTCAGCTAAGGCTTTAGAGCAAACTCATCCTTTCTCTCAGTAAGTGGTCCAAGGGCCACTACAGGGACAGTGCACCAGAACCAGCAGCTGTGTGGGTTACGTAAGCACTACCTTTTCCTGGTAGATTGATCTCATCTGGACTTACCAATAGTTCCAGTGCAAGATAAATCAAACTTTAAAGAAAAATCAGTGCTGCTTTCAATGAGGAGTACATCAAATGTTGCATGCCCTGATTAGCAAAGCACTTAAGCGTTTGCTTACCTTTAAACACGGGGAAAACTATTCTTCAGCAAAGAACTTGACACATGTGCGTAAGTCCCATCGACCTCAGTCCCTCTAGTGGGTCTCTTAAGCATAGGCTTAATTTTAAATAACCATTTAAGTGCTTTCCTGACCCCCAACCTTCCTACCTCCCATTTTTAAAACATCCAGGCTCATTTTGTGCCTCCAGAAACCAGGTTCCTACTGCTTCAAGAATGAATGTAAACAAGCAGGACTAATAAAAGTCTCATGACTCAATACTGTAGCTATGCTACTCAGGGAACATGAACATTTATTTGTTTTCTCTGTGTTTGAAATAACCCTCATGTTTCTAAGATTAAAAGACAAGACTGGCTCTCTTTAAAGGCGATGAATAGCTCATGTGTGTGTTTAGTGCTGATTCGGGCAGGCAGTGCGTAACTTGTAATGAAAGAGGTGTGGGAGCTCAAGCAACAAGGTACTGGACACCAGCATTTTTTTACTTTCATAACTGGCATAGTAAGCTCTGGGGTGCTTGGGATCAGCCCTGCAAGCCCCAGTACAAATTAAGCACTGAGGCAGGGTCCTACGCCTCCCTCTACCATCACAAGGGCATGGAATCAGGCATTCACACCTGCAGGTGGTTTTCTAGGGGTACGTCAACACTGGCCGCTAATTTTGAAATAAGCTATGCCGGAATTTATTTTCCAGAGTAGCTTACTTTGAAATAGCACATCTACACGTAAAAAGCACATCGAAATAGCACATCCACACTGATTGGGCGCTAACTTGGATTTAATTGGAACCACCCAGCTGGGCATCAGATCAGCATTTACTTCCTGGAGCTGCTGCCTGAGGCTATCTGAGATGCGTGCTTAAAGATACCCCCCTCCCCAATACAACAATGGCCCCTGACTGTTGTGCTACACTTTATGCAGCAGTTTATGCAGGCTGCCTTCCTGG